TCTATAGGAAAACGGCGGAAGCAAAGTTGTACACCTAATACATAAGTTGACAATATTTAAAAAAAATCCTAAAAATATTTGAGATAGAACCAATCTTAAAAAAAATTAATTCCTCACATAATTATGTAAAGTTAACTTCATATAATTATGTGAGAGTTGGATTTTTTATAACTTAAAAGACTGAAATACTTAAACTATTAAAGATTAATACTGTTAATTAGACAAAAACAAAGCATACTACTACATAACAATAAGAATACTACTAAAGGTAAATCATACAATTGAGAAGCAAAACAAAAAATATACGCACTATCAACAGAAATGCATTATGTCAAACTAGCTTGAGAACTGCATCAAATAACGATATCACACATTGTAAACTTAATCTTTGGTCACAGACCTCCTTGGTATCTCTGGTAGCCAACGGAAGTGTCAATTGTTCTAATAATATGGAATTCTACAACAAAAGAAAACAAGAGAAAAAATTAAAGAAAGTAGTGTACATTGTCAAAACAGAAAGAAAAACTATACACCACTTACAATTCTATAATTTCTCCAGGAGTCGATTCATTGCACTTTGATAAACCTCAATGGCGCGATCCTGTCTCTCCATACGCTCAGTGTGCCTCTTCTGTTGAGCCTCTTCTTTTTTTTTACATTCCTCTGCTCTTATGGCAAGTAGTCTTTCGATATTTCTTTCAGTAACACTTTTCTTTTTCTTTTTGTACTTAAGAGTAGAATCACAGCCATGCTCACTGTCGCCTTCACTGCAGCTGTCTACGAGTACAGAAGATGCACTTGAAAAGTCCTGAGTATCAAGTTTATGCTTCTTTAGTGTTGAAGCTATGGACACAGGTTTCACAGCTGGTTTGTCACCAAAAGCATTATCCATTTCTTTATAAAACTTGCATGTGACAACTGGAAGGCCACTGCCCTTCTCATTCTGGTCTCTAGCTTTTACATAGTGTTTCCTAAGATCTTTAAATTTGTCTTTACATTGCTGACCAGTGTAATCCCAGAGTGGTTTCTCTTTTTTTAATTTACTGGCTATCATTTCCCAGACTTTCTTATTAGTAATGGTAGTGCTCTTGAAATAGCTCTCATGTTCTCTTCATTCGTCAATGAGAGTTTTAATTGCATAATCATCTTTCCATGATGCTGCACCTGTAGTAAAAAGAAGAATTGGTAATGAACGAAGCAGACGAAGTGCATAAAGAGACAAAATTACGATTTTAAAAAGATATGCGTACCTTTCTTGCCAGAGATGTTCGTAAGCTGTCGACTTTATATGTTTTTATGTTCAGAATTTACAGAAGGCTGTTCATTAGACAACAGTTCTGTTTCTGACACTGGAGTCTCATCTGTTCACCAATAAATATATTATTTATCTTTAAAGATTCATCGAGTAAATTAATCTCACATACAATATTTAAAAAAACAGAGGTTAGTAAAGCAAAGAACTTGCCTGAAGAATTTACACATAGATTGAAAGACGCTAGATTTTCAGATGTTATATCAAGGTGCAATGGACAATTATCTGTTAAAAGAAAAATAAATCATTTGAAGATTGACGAAGAAGAATTTCATACAAAGAAATTATTCACCATAACCTCCTATCATGTTCAGAGCGTTAATAAAATCATATTAATGAGAAATAAATAACTTACTATCAAGGTCCCATACGACCAACTTGTTGTTCTCAATAACTGGAGAACCATTCTCCGTGACCACAAGCTTGAGATTCATTATTAAATTGAACACCTTTCCTCACTTCAATTACTGAAATCCGCGCACTTCTCTTGGCGTCAAAATCTACCCGCCGGCACCTTGTGTCAAAAGCAGAGTGATTTTTCCCTCACCCGGGTATGTTGGCGGGGAATCTGAACGATACATTCGGACGCCATCTAAGTGAAAATAGGAGGAATCTGAACGGCGCTTGGGTAGTTCGGGGCAGCCGGGTGGGGAATCTGAACGCACCCCAGAAAGTAATGGTGCGCTAGAACGCTCACATCGTACACTAGCTGAGTACTTACGACATTATATAAATGCCAACCAGACAGACTGGGACGAGTGGATACCTTATGCCATGTTCACGTACAACACTACCCCTCATACGGCAACAGGATTTACTCCTTTCGGGCTAGTATACGGACATCAAGCAATCTTACCAACAGCGCTAACAACGCCGCCGAAACCTACGTATACTTACGATAACTACGCCCAGGAATTAAAGGAAAGAATACGAGCGACAAATCAAATCGCTAAAGAGCACATAAAAAAGGAAAAAATTAAAATAAAAGAAAAATACGACAAAAAGGCAAAACAAACCACCTTCAAGGTAGGAGACAAAGTATTGCTATATGATGAAACCGTTCGGAGAGGACGTTCAAAGAAACTCGACTCTCTATGGACTGGACCATACATAATTACTGATAAAATTTCCGATGTTAATTATAAAATCAAAGTAGGGAGAAAAATAATATGCACACATATAAATCGCTTAAAAGCTTTCATAGAACATTAAAAGAAGAAAAAGCGTAACAAACAAGCATCTATTTTTTCTGAGCGCTAATGACATGAAAGGCCCAAGATATAGCAGCAAAATCAAGCCTAGAAGCCGAAAATAAAATAGAACAATTTAAGCAAGAGCCAGGAATATATTTTGAAAAAATCGGCGATCTACATCAAGTAGAATCTAGCTGGAAGTTAGTAATAAACATTGATATGGGAGCCTTAAATAAAAGATTCCATGATTTACAAAATTACATCGATCATGCACTCTTCCTAGGCAAACTACAAAATAAAGCGCAAGAAAACTGCCAAACCTTAAAAGGAATAATCGAAGCAGATAATGAAAAATTGGCGCAACTCTTGAGACGCGTAATCACTATATTTAGAACGCCAACAGATAAGCGCAGAGGCTTCATCAATGGAATTGGATCTTTAGCGAAAACTCTCTTTGGAACAATGGATGCCAAAGACGAAAAAATTATCAAAAAACAACTAACTTTCTTAGAAAACCAAGAGCATACGCTACATCATACAATGAAGTATCAAGTTAAAAAATTAAACGCCACAATTGCTCACATTGATAATTTAGAAAAAGTAACACAATATAATGAATAATTACAAGTCAGATTCAACGCGAAAAAATACATCGACACTTTTACATAATTAACACGATCATAACGGATTTAATGAGAGACACTGAGGATATAATACAACATCTAATGGCAATAAAAAACGGAAAAATATACCCTAGATTAATTCCATTAGAACAAGTTATAGATAGCCTCAAGGAAGCTATCTCACAAGTACCACAAGGATTACATTTTCCCTTTGGTATCTTTGAAAACAATTGGCTAACGATTGAAAAATTCATAACGATTAGCGCTTATTATGACACACCCTATATACATACTATCTTACGCTTTCCACTAATCTCTCACCCTAAATACAATATAATAAAGGCAATACCTCTACCTATATACAGTCAAGGAAATTTATTCATTTTCGTAGAAATAAATCAACCCATTATAGCTATCGACAGCAAAAATCAAAATTATTTAACAACAACACAGAATAATTTAGATAAATGTATCGAAATAAGTAATCATTATATATGCGAACAAAACAGACCCATATATCATATTAACGACGATTCACTATGCGAAATCCAAGCGTATTTACAAGTCGCAGCGGACAAAAGATTTTGTAATACGAGATACATTCATTCTAACCAGACTATATGGATTGCGTTAACTAACCAGCACTCGTGGTTGTACTCTACGCTCACCGAACAATCTATAACTATAAGCTGCGAAAACCAAGAAGAAAATAGAATAAAAATTTCTAGAACAGGGCGAATTATATTAATGAATAACTACAAATTAGTAACGGCCGATATGATAATAAAAACTTCGAGAGTAATAAATACCACCTACCTCCCAACATATTTGCCGGAATATAATATATTAAATTTAAAATTCGACCTAAGTAACACGTCAATAAAACCTAATGTAGTAAAATTAAAGAAAATAATACAAAATCCAAACGAATTAATGGATTTAAGCACTAGACTGCAGGAGATAACAAAAGAATTAGATAAAACTAACAATTATCCATTCTTACAAAAGCAAGTTATATACCCAATATCAGGCAGCTTTGCAATACTTATAATAAGTATCATAGTAATAATATTATGGCGAGCCCACAAAAATTGTAAACATACACCACGCGTAGAAAAAGAAAGAATTGTAAACAGAGTCTCACATACAGTCTCAAATAAATGCTACATTGTAAAGCGAGGTCCACCCTGCCCACTGGCGGGGTGGGTGCGGGAAGGGGGCCGAAGGCCCCCCTTGCACCCCCATCCGTGTGTGCGTGTGTGTGTGCGCGCGCGCTCGCCTGCTTCTTGTCCGTGCATGTACTTTCGTATATTTCAAACTTTTTTTGTTAATAACTTTTTAATAAGCAACGCGCGACGGCTAAAACCTTTTGGAGGTTACTCAGAGTCATGACCTTGACAACATATGTCGAGGTCAAGGTCATTGTAGCTGGGTCCGTTATTATGCATTTTTACCAAATCTTTTTGCACGGAATCTTTGTCTCGTGTTTCTCGACACTCGGAGTCCCAACTCCTAAGACGAGCCGAACCCTTAGATCATCCCCAAATTCCCGTTGTACCCGGAGAGGCACAACACGCAATATGATTTTCAATATGGCAATGAATATTGGAATGTAACCATAAATTCATGCAATAGTATACAGACTTCACTTTGCACAGAAAGCATAAGTTGATATATTTGCAAATAGTTTTAGATTACAACATTATAATATTCTCTCTTTACAATACATCGTCACCTTTTCTACTTATAAGATGACTTATTCATAAACTATATTTTTGGTAAATATGCATATTAGGTTACACCTCACCGATGACTTTGACCTTGACATATGTTGTCAAGGACATAACCCTGAGTAACTTTTCCTTATAACTTAACCGGCGGTTTCTTATAGTTTCTGAGATATTTAAAGTTAACATTTGGGTAATAATATAGAGACAGAGAGACAATCTGCCCCACAATTGTTGCATGGATGAAAAAGTATATGTGTGGACGCAGTTGGTTCCGCTTCCCCTGCGGGGGGGCTCCACTTCCGGAAGATATAACCTAACCCAAACCTATTTCTGATTTAAAACTAAAATTTGATTTGGGTTAGGTTATCAATCGGGACCGTGGTCAATCGGGACCGTGGTCAATCGGGACCGTGGTCAATCGGGACCGTGGTCAATATCAACGTGGTCAAACGGGACGCTCCCTATGATTTTCAATATGGCAATGAATATTGGAATGTAATCATAAATTCATGCAATACTATACAAACTTCACTTTGCACAGAAAGCATAAGTTGATATATTTGCAAATAGTTTTAGATTACAACACATTTATACTATTCTCTCTTTACAATACATCGTCACCTTTTCTATTTATAAGATGACTTATTCATAAACAATATTTTTTAATGTTATTTATTTTTATTGCATATTTTTATTTTTATATGTATATGTATGTATTTTGTAATCATCTATTTATTAATGTAGCAAAGAAAAATATTTCTATACACATATTTATTTTGTCAGCATAAGCGTATAACAGATTCTAACCTTGAAAACATCATAAATATTAATTGAACTTATTGGTTTTATGATAACCGCTTCACTCAGAGAGATTATATAATCACATGTACGAGATGTGAAGACTTTTCGCACTTTTCTCACTTTCTTGAAGTCTTTCACCAGTTGTTCAAAATGCCGTATTGAAACAACGCACAGTAAAACAATGCACTTGGACGCGGATATAACGATGAACTGCGCGAAAGACGCTGCGCTGCTGCGCATGCGCACTTCATCATGCGAATCATTCTTATCATAATAGTATCATTTTTGTTAAGAAGAACATTTTGTATCTATATACCACCGTATTTAAGTTCTAACATACAATTATGAGTATCGGAAATAATCTACGTTCGATTTATTGCGAACCAGGCCAAACAGCATCTCTAAATTCCAAAATCATAATTTGATCAATTTCTGTCATGATCAAAATATGACTTTTGATAGTCATTATGATGTTATTTTGATATAATTTTGATATTATTGTGATTTTTTGTTCTGCTTGGGGTAACAGATATTTATTTACAAAATGAAGTTAATAATAAATTTCAAAAATATACATGCATACATGCGTGTATACATGTATTCCTAATTATACAAAAATATGTGTTATGTCCAAAAGCAACGGTATCCAATTGAACGGTGCGCAAATGAGATGTGTCTAATTGAACGGTGCGCAACTTTATATGTCTAATAGTACAGTGTGCAATTTCAATGTATCCAATTGTACTATGCGCAAGTGAAGGTTTCTCCCAGAAGAGTACTTGAGCAAAGCGACAGGGCGCAACGCTCAGCCATTTCCAAGAAAAATTTATTTAAAAAATATAGTTTCTTATACAGGGTGAGTTTTTTAACTTGAGACTGCAAAATATCTGTAAAAATAAGCATTGTACGAAAAAAATGTTCCAAATAAACCCTCTATAAGGTTATACCTTCCGGAAGTGGAGCCCCCCCCTAGGGGGGGAGAAGGCGAAACCCATTGCGTCCGCGCATACACTTTTCCATCCACAGAACAATTTTGGGGTGGACCTTGCTTTGCTTTGTAAAGTATATGCGTGGACACAGTGG